GCTGCGTTAGCTGATAGGGGACCTCTGCATGAATCTCTCCTCGCTCTCCGTTCTCTGTCAGTTTTCTCACTCCATTTGGTGCTTGGCTGAGTTCTTTTTCTCTTCATTTGATGTTTTAGGGTTTCAGGATTGTTGTTTTCTCTGTTCAGGTTAGTTTCTCGAGGGATGGCATGGTGCTTCTGCCTAGAGCGCCATTTTGCTGGAAGTCCTCTATTTTTGTCCTTTTTGCCTTGTACTAAGGGACTGTGTAAGAAAATAAGATCTGCTGTTGTTTCCATTATTTGTAGATCTTGTTGCTGTTCTAGTTCTGTAGGGTGCACATTATAATTCAGTTAAATGTGTTTTACAGAACAACAGTTTATCAAATCCTAATTAAGTAAAGAGTATAATTCTGCATGTGATGTTTGCTGGTTCTAATCATGCCAGTGTGGCAATAACTTCATTGATCTCCTCTGAAGAAGTGTTTTTGGATGTGCTAGTAAATGGCTCTTTTAATCCTGTATTTCTCTAAGTAGTTCATTGAAAAGAACATTCAAAGACTTAAAAATTACTTTATTCTTTCTCCGAGCTAGATAAGTCTTTTTATAAATCAGTTTTCAGTTCAGAGTTTTGAAAATTTGGAAGTAGAAAAGATCTGACACTTAGATCTTTCATTGTTGTTTGCTGTCAAGTCAATTTAGACTCATAGTACCCTCATGCAATTTAAAAGAACTGCAGTAACTGGGGAGTTACAAGTTGATAAAATCTCTTGTGTTCCTGGGTCCTGAAATAAGAATTTATAAGAATTGTTAGGAACAGAAATATGTTGCCCTTTGTATGTGAGAGTGTGTGTGTGTCTGTTTGTGTGTGTATTTGTCCATGTCTGTGTCTGGAAATTAAGACCTCCCTGGCTCATCTCAGGCCTGTCCAGATGTTACAAGTTTAATCTTCGGATCTACTTCCTGTGTGAGAACCGGCTCTCCCCACCCTACAGCAGTCCCTCCCTCTTAGTTCTCAAAGCTCCCACTATTACCCACACAGTCTAGTCCAGATAAGGCTGTAGAGGGTCTTGGAGCCCCTAGAAGAATTATGTTATCGAACATTTTATATCTAAAATTAATTGAAAGTATATATATAAATGTAATTTGATTATTTTTTCTAATTAAGGGATTATTAAATACAATGTTTTAAAAAAAAATCTCACGTGAAACGTTGTCTCCTGTTTTTACTGACCCTTCCAGCCCTGCTTCCCAGAGGTAAACACTTTTAATTGTTGCTTAGTGAGTGTTTTGTTCATTGTTTATCTCCAGCAGGTAGAATTATGCCTGATTGACACCCAATAAATACTAGTTGAATGAATGAAAAGATGTCTTAACTTTGTCCTCGGATTTGGTAGATGGTTTGATTACTTTACAATTCTAGGTTGAATATAATTTTTTATCTTGGATGGCATTTTTCTACCATCTTAGCATATGATGTTGCTATTCAGAGTGCGTCCATTCTGATTTCAGTTTGTATGTTACCTGTTTTTCCTTTCTGTGAAAACTCTTATGATCTTCTTATGTTATTACCTTAAAAACAAAACAAACCAAACCAAAGGGAATTCATTCAGTAAGGGGAAATTTGCTTGAATTGTTTCTTTGATAGGTCCATGCCCCCCCTGACCCCCACCTTTCATTTTCAGTTATTAATCTCTCTGAGGTCTTCCTCTAATTTCTGGGAGATTTCCGTAGTATTACCTTCCAGCCCTTCTATTGATTAGTATTTTATTTGTGTTATATTTGAAAATGTGTTATCATATGCTTGTTTCCTGGTTCTTCCCTTTTTTTATATAGTATTTTGGGATTCAATTATTCTGTTGTATACAGGCTTCCAACCTGTTCCTCCTGTTTTTAGGTCCTTTCTTTACTTTTCTCTTTTGTAATACTCAGCATCTTCAAGTGACAAGTCAGCAGAGGTTTTCTGGGCTGCTTGATGGTATCCCCCTCTGTAGGCATATAGATTGCCACTTCCTTCTCTCTACTGAGTTTACTTGTTTTTACACCTGATTTCTACCTTCTAAATTATTATTATTGTTATTTTGGTTGAAAACCTTTATTCTGGCTTCATTTTTCATTGTCATTAAAATGTTAATACATTTTAATTGCTGTTTTGGTGTGGTTTTATGGGGCAAGAGGAGATAAGTACATGTGATCCATCTTCCATGTTTATGTTGGAGGTTTTCCTCTTCCTTTGATGTCCTGGGTAATTTAATTTTATGACTATACTTGAAATGACAAGTTAAATATGTAAATTTAAAATGGATTAATTTGAAGAAAATTTTGATTGAAATGTTGATTTGAAATGTTCTAGTTCCAAATGCATAATGTGCTTTGTAATAATAAATTCTTTGACTTGTATTTCTATAGAAGAAATTGAGGAAGAATCTGAAACAACAGTTGAGGCTGACTTGACTGATAAACAGAAACATCAGTTGAAACACAGGGAACTCTTTTTGTCACGCCAGTACGAATCTCTGCCTGCAACACATATCAGGTAAGAACTTTTCAGAAATTAATCTAAAGTTCTCAGTAATATTGTGACCAAAAGAAAAGACAAACAGCCTTATTTGAAGCATTTTCCCAATTGTCCTGAGGATCTTGCTCAAATTAGTTTACTAATGACCTAATAATGGAGTTTTATGTTAGAAATTTATAGTATGTATCAGCATTTTAAAGTCCTGCAAAAATTCTACAGCAGAGGAATTAGTTTAGGTTCGTTCTAATCCCAACATTCCCAACTTTTTGAATATCTGTTTACATCCTGAAGAACAGTGTCCAGCAGATATCATTTTGTTAATGCTGGTGTTCCCCAGATTCCTAGAAAATCACAGTCATTGGAATGCAAGAGGTAAAACCCAGTATCTGGTTCCCGGACAGGTAACTGTTGACCCTGTTTGTTTTCTCTAGGGAATCTCTGGAATGAAAAGTTTCTACTTTTTAATCATTTGGTTACGTCTGCTGTGTGCATTTATGAGGATAGAAAAGTGAAAATATCCAGTCCCTAGTTTGCAGTTTGGCAGTTATGGAAGAATGATGGTGGTCTGTTTTGGTCTACTGGTGGTGTCAAAATCTAAGCATAAGTTGAGCTGTTTTTTCTGTACATTCTTTAATAGGTGTATCTCAGAAGTATAACAAAATGTTTGAACTTAAAAGACAAGCAGATTCTGACCCTCAGGGCCAGGAATGCTTCAGAAGGAAGTGGTATTTATTCAGCCTTCAAGAGAATGTGGGGTGCATTTTATGTAGAGAGAACAGGTGAACATGGAGTGTGCTCAGGCAACAGTGTATCCAGGGTGATAGGTATGTGAGGGACTGCAGTGTTTTAGTTACCTGCGGTTAAGAAATTCTCTTCAGTTTTTGTTCAGTCTTTCTTTTATTCTGCTCTCTACTGGTCACCATTGTCATAAAAATCCTTTACATAGTGAAATAAAATGTTTATTTCAGTAGCTGCCCACACCTATCTAGCCCCAGTGTCGGATTGAATCTGAATCTACCTTTTTGGGTTCAGACAGGATTGTAGACTTCCTAAAGCTCTGGTTTGGTCCTTGGACTGCCTCCACTCTTCACCCTTAACTCCAGGGACTTCGTGCTTAACTTCTCTGTACAGAAATGGACACAGAGGTCTTCCAAGGCAGGAAATGAAAGACAAAGATACTGGAATTTCTTTTTCTGCAAGTCTTCAAGATATTTCAAGAAATACTAACTTCCCTTCCCACTCCCCAATAAAACCTGTTGCCGTCAAGTCAATTCCAACTCATAGCGATCCTATAGGACAGAGTAGAACTTCCTTATAGGGTTTCCAAGGAGCAGCTGGTGGAGTCAAACTGCCAGCCTTTTGGTTAGCAGTCATAGATTGCCGTAGCTCTTAACCACTGTGCCACGAGGGTTCCTGTTCCCCAATAGTTACCTTCATATTATTGCTTTATTTCAGTGGAAGCACTTTTAAACGGTCCTGTAACTATTTAGGTGTTCTTGGCAGGCTTCGAACCGGTTCTGCCTATTTCAGTCATGGCTGAGGAAGCGTCACTGGAATAGACCTGAATTTTAAAGTTATGGTGAACTGGGAAGATAGCCAGAACAGGAAAAATTATGGGTTGAAGCCCTGCTAGAAACTTAATCTCCCTATCAGAGAACAAGGGCAACATACGTGTTGCCTAGCAACCAGATCTCTTGCCCTCGGATTTTGAGCACAGTCTGAAGCAGCACTGCCCCTCTCAAAGATGGCAGCAGCCTGCCATGCCGCTTTGAATGTGTGTTGCTTTCCTACAGTCCTGCCAATAGTCCAGTCTCACACATCAGGCTCCTGAAAGCACTCACTATGCCTCTTCTGAGTATCCCACTCCAGACCTTCGACCCATAATTTTTCCTGTTCCAGGTACTGTGTCAAATCTTCCAGATAATGAAACTTTGGGTCTGTTCTGTTTCACTTTGTCGGCCATTACTGAACTAATTCAAACAGGTTTGAAGCTTTGGTTCTTAGGGGGTACTGTGTTTAAATTTGATGAGAGTTAGTATATTTTGTGTGACTAAAGTAAGTCCTTTGGTGGAAAAGATAATCAGGACTGGTAATATGGGGGCCAGTCTTTTATCCACCAATAGGAGTATTTAAAGAAAGAAAAACAAGGAATAAAGTTAATAACTTTTACTCAAAGAGATGGAACATGGAAACATTTTGAGATTTTCTTAAAGCTCTGTATAACTAATAAATGCTAAAGAGCCATATGCATGCTGCTATTATTTAATTGGAAGAAACTAGACTATAAAGATTCATTTTAAGCTGAAGAAGTTAATGTGGCCAGTCACAAGAATCTTGCCAGAACAAGAATCCGACAAATGGTTTTAAAACTGTATCCAAAACATGCAAGTATATTTTTAATTTACCCTCCTGATAGCTTGGAATCTGTTTACAAGTGATGTTGGTTTCCTTTAACAGATTGCTTGGAATGAAAAACTAGTGATGTGTTTTTCATTTTCCATACGGGCTGAGAAAGTATACTGGAATATAATTATCAAGACATCCATATATTGAACATAGACATTACGTAGTATACGTGATCATTCAGTCACTGTTGAACATATTCCTGAGTATATTCTAGGTTAGAGACCTTACTAAGTGCTTGCTAAGACAAGGCCTCCAGCTTTAAGGAGTTTATAGGGTAGTAGTTCCTTTGAATTATGGTGGAGGGAGATAGACATTTGAGAGTTTTGGTTGTGTTTTTCTGTTTTTGAATTTGAGGAGGAGTGGTGCAAAGTCGCATTTTCTCATTAGTGGCTCTCATTTTCAAACAGCTGAGTGGGGTTGGGGGTAGAGTCTGGCCAAGGCATGAAGCCAAGCTAAATAGCCCACATGCTGATGTAGAACAAGTGCACACTGGAGTGGTCTTGACATTTTGCTAATGTTGAAGTCATGCCCTATCTGTTTCTGCTATAACTGGAGAAAATTACTGAAGCCCCATTGTTCTTTGGCAGCAAAGAGGGGTAATTTGGTGAATGCTGGCTTTTTATTATCAGGGACATTATCAGATGCCCAGAATTTCCTTGGTGCTATAAGGAACATGGGAGAAAACCTGACTGACGCATTCTTGAGGTCCTTTGTAGTCTATGAACTATAATATTCACTAGTTGCTGTAAGTGTCCCAACACATCAGGAAGGCAACTCATTGTTCCTTCTGATTCCGCTGCAAGAGAGAGAGAGAAAGAGCAGGAAATGGAACTGTTCTTAATAGAGTTAGCAATTCACCTCTTGTTTGTGAGAGATAGATAGGGCTTAAGCAGTGAGAATCCCTTTGCGACTTTTTTTGTGGGGAGGAAGAAAGGCATCATGTTTCATGCGTAGCGTCTTAGGTCACTTAATAACAGATTATATGCTCCTTACATCACAAAGCATTATAAAATGTTTTGTTATGCCAGCTACCAGATCTGTTACATGTACCTGGTATTCTGTATAGCACAGTCTTATATATAGACAATATGTACTGAACTTGACTTTTAAAAATTCTAGGATTTATTGAATTTTTTATTAGAGGTACTATTTCAGTTACTTTATATGCACCTTATTTAATTCTCACTCTATAAAGTAAGTCCTGTTATTATTCTCAAGAGGCCTTGTGGCGAAATGGTTAAGTGTTCAGCTGATAACCGAAAGGTAGGTGGTTCGAACCCACTAGCTGCTCTGTGGGAGAAAAGACCTGGCAATCTGCTCCCATAAAGATTACAGCCTTGGAAACCCTATGAGGCAGTTCTACTCTGTCCTGTAGGGTTGCTATGAGTCGGAATGGACTTGACGCCACACAACAACATGCTGAGTATGTTCAAGGATAGAGACCTTACTAAGACCAGAGCTGCCACTCCAGAACCTAAATTTGGTGTCCGTAGTAGACTAGGTCTTAAAGCCGTATGTGCACATAGTGTTCAGGCAGCCTCTATATGGCAGGGTGCTTCCGAGAAAGCCTTCCATTTCTTTTGCGTTTTAAGTAGTTGGTAGGTTAGGATCTCAAAATACAAACATCATCATCATCATCATCATCATCACTGTCACTATGTAGAAGAGCGGCTATGCCCACTAATCGCTTGGTTGCTAACTGAAAAGTCAGCGGTTCGAACCCAGCAGCCACTACATGGGAGAAAAGATGTGGCGGTGTGTTTCTGTAAAGATTACGGCATTGTAAATCCTATCAGGCTGTTCTACCCTGTACTGTATAGGGTTGCTATGAGTCAGAGTAGACTCGATGGCAATGGGTTTTTCTTGGTTTAAGTGATGTCATGTTACTTGTGGAGTCCCTGGGTGGTGCAAATGGTTAAAGGTTTGACTACTAGCCAGAGGCTGGCTGTTCGAACCCAGTGAGAGCCGCCTAAGAAGAAAGTCCCGGCGACCTGCTTCTGAAAGGTCACAGCCTTGAAAACTCTATAGAGCAGTTCTACTCTGTACACATGGGGTTGCCATGAGTCAGAATCAAGTTGACAGCAACTAATAACAACACGTTGCTTCTGCAAGCAACAGGAGCTTCTATGAGGCACTGCCTTTCTTTATTCAGTTGAAAAACTATCTTGAGCAGTTGATAAGAATATTGTGCCTTATGTAAGATTTATCTAGATTGTTCGTTGCATACTTCATCTTAGATTTTAGATTATTGAAGGTCCATACCTTAGTTTTCTTTTTCTTGCCTACTATGGAATGGTGTCCACGCAGCCATTCAGAATTTTAAACTTGCAACGGGTTTGCATTTAATTTTATTTTTGTTCTTTAGGGAAATAAAACTATTAACAGATGATAGAATAATCTCTCCCTTTTTTATTGTGAAAGTATACACACCAAAACATTCACTAATTCAGCAGTATGTTCATGTGAAATTCAGTGACATCGATTACATTCTTCATATTGTGCAACCGTTATCACTGTCCTTTTTGGAGTTATTCCACCTCTTTTAGCATAAACTCAGTGGCCCCTGCAAAAGCTCTTCCTTCATCCCCACCTCCCACCTTTGGTTGGTTGTT